GAACCTAGGTGCTCAGAGGGAACAGACTGATTTAGGAAGCTGCACTGCTGCTCTTCAAGTACTACTGCTACTGCGGGGGGCTTAGCTGCCCTGCAGAGAGCACTGGCTCAACATTCCTCAAGGGACCCCCAGGGCTGCTGGTGGGGGTTGGGAGGCCCAAACAGCTACAGATACATTTTTGCAGGAGGGAAGGCTGATGCTATGCAGCTCACAGCCAGCAGCTAAGCGTGGGACTGTACATAATAGGTTTCCCCTTGTGCCTGATGGCAGTCAAGGCCCTGGTGAGAAGGGAGGTGGGAGCCAGAGGAAGAACCCCCAGCAAATGACGCAGAGACACAGGCTCCACCCCCTGGCCTCATTTCCAGCCTAGGTGTGGAAAAGCCTGGTCTTGCAGCCTCTCAGCAGGCGCAGAGCTGTTGGCTCAGTATCCTGGGGGATAGGAAGGGGCAGTGCCACCAATGCCAGGACTTGCCAGCTCCCTTCCTGGGAAAACTCCAGGCAAAGGGCAGACTTGGGCAGAGAGAGTTCCCCTATGAGCAGTGGCATCCCCACCCTGACACCCTAAAACTGTGAGGTGTGATCTCACATTGAGGTGGGCTGCAATGATGACAGCCCAGAGGGCTGAGCCACTAAAGCTCAGGCCCAGAGGGCTTCGATTGACAGAAGCGTCCCACAGCAACCCCACTCAGTCCCCTCTCCTGGGCCTCCCTCCCTTCCTCCCTCTCCTCCTTCAACCTGCAAGCCTGGCCTGCCGGTAAGCAGCTGCTGGGAGCGCCCTTCTCCCCTTGCTCCTGTAGGAGGAACACCAGGACAGACACCTCCACGGCCAGACTCAGCCCCTGCCACAGCTCCTGCCAGTGCCCCACTGGGCTGGGCAAACTCCTAGGCCAGGACCTGGCTCTCCCAGGACCAAGAAAAGGCATTTTCATCCCAACTACAAGGTCTCAGCAGAGACAGAGGCCAAATAAGCACCACTTACTCAGGCCTGGGGGCTCAGCTCAAGGTAAACTAGCAGGAGGCATTCCTGCTCTTGGAGGAGGAGATTCCCTCTCCTTTAAAGAAACTTTGTGTGACATTTAGCATTTAAAGAGCCCTGAAGCTGAGGGCAATGACCTTTGGCAGAAAGGAGAGGAGGGCAGTCAGAACCTAAGAAGCAAAGGATGGGTCTGTGCCCCCAAAGAAAGCTGAGGGGAGGATCTTCTGAAGCTGACTTGACAGCCACTAAGCTCTCCTAATACTACTGGCAAAGGAGCCTGCCACACACACGCCAGAATCCCCAGGGCCAAGGACAACTGGGCTGGTCCTGGAGCCAGGACCCCTATGCTTTCAATGGACCCTCGGCCATCTGTCATACCCACCACCCAAGGATAAGACTCTCTTCTACTCATAGCAAAATCAGGTCCCTCATCTCAAAGTTCACTCTGCTAGCAGAGCAATTTGTTGGTCAAAATTTGAGTGCATATTCTTGAGGGTGAGTTCCCCCAGTCTCAGAACCACAAACAGATGTTGTTGGGAAGGGAGAGAAATTAAAAGGCCCATTTACCCCCCCCAAAATGGGTCCCATCAACTCCTTCCTTATCTCCTAAGAGTCCTGGGTTCAGAGCCCCCCCCATCCCGGAAGAGGAGAGCCCTGCAAGAGGAGAATGAAGGCTGTAACCTGGGGTCTGGCACCCTCCCTGCCCCTCCAGCAGGGCTTAGCACCTGCCTGAAGCACTGGTTACTGGTCTTCACATTTCTCTTGAGCACTGGGAGAACCAGTTGAACTAGTCTTGCCTTTCCTAAATTTTTTTTTTTTTTTTTAATCTGGCAGGCAGCTGCTGGAGGCTTTTCAACCCATGGCTCAGGCCAACCCTCATAATAAGAAAAATGCTACTTTGTATCTGCCTCATTTAGGAGTTTTCTACTTTTTTTCCTTTGGTGGTTAACTAAATTTCATCTTGTATATAACCGCTGTAAATTTTCTCTAAAAAATTCCCCAATTGGTGCCAGCAATTATAGAAAGTGTGTGTGTGTATAGATGGGGAATCTCCGGAGAGTGGCCAGGAGTTCCCGTGAATCTTCATAAGAAAGTAGCATTTCTCTCTCCATCCACTAGGAAAGCCTCACCTTGCCACCTTTCCAGAAAGATTCTGAGAGCTCTGCACTTCAGACTCTTTAGGGCTCCTCACAAATTTTTTTTTTTTTTTTTTACTAAAAAAGATGAAGTGAAGCCGGGAGGTTGGGATGATGAGAAATCATGGGGGAAAATATATTACTGGCAAAACCAAAATCAGCACCTATAGGTCCCAACTGGGGGCTTTGGCCTATGGACCTGCAAGGCCTGGGCTTTATCTGAACTAGAACAGGCCTGAGACCAGCCCAGGAGACTTCCACTCCACATACAAACCCCAGGTGGCTAACGCCTTCTTACCTGGGAGGGTTAGGTGTCTTCAGAAAAGACCAAGACAATATGAGGAGTCCAGCCTCGAAGGCCTCCTTTGCACATTCACAGTACACACAGAGGGGCCACTGTTTCTGAAGCATCATCGCTTTATGACAAATTCCACTGATAGGACTGATGCAATAAGCCCTCTCTTTGCCTCTGGTGGTAAAGGACTGGCTTTTGCAAAAGAGATCCTGGAGTTTAAAGTTTCTAGTTTACAAACAAACACACACACACACACACACACACACACACACACACACACACACTGAGGAGGTGGCTTTTCAATTAGAGGAGGAGGAAAAAAATGGGACCAGAACAAGAACACAGTTATGATTCAGGCTGGCTGGCCAATCTTCTTGTCCTCTAAGGGGACTCCGACTCTGAGTGTGGCTTCTGTGGGTGACCTGTGCTCAGACTGGGCTTCAAAGCCTGCTCTCCTCTGGAGGAGAAGGTGAAAGAAAAGGACGACCCTCTCCTATGGCTGCCAACAGGGAGGAGACCTATGGGCAGCACCGGGCAGTTCTCCGGGATAGAGCCTGAGCCCCTCACCTTCCCCCTTCTTCAAATGGGGCATGTGAGTACTCCGTACTGAGGTGGCCCTAAGAGCACTCTGCCCTCCACAGCTGCCTTTGCAAAGTTCTTCCTGATGACACCAAGAGCCCAGTCCTCTTGGGTGAGCCCCCACTGAGGCTGCTTTGTGTTTTTATGACACAAGGCAGTGTCTCCGGAGGTCTCTCCCGAGCAATGCAAGGGACAAAAAGCGGTCTTCATGAGGGCTCTGCACATATGGAAAATAAGTGCACAGCTTCTGAGGCCATAGTTGGAGCGAATACTCCTCTCCATCCATGGTTCCAGGCAGAGACGAGGAATAGAACAAAGAGTTCCAGGAGTAGCCTCGAAGGGACACACACTGCTAAGTCTGATGGGAAGCCCAGAGTGTTTGTGAGAACAGATCCAAACACAGTGGCTGTCAGTCCCCAGGGACAGGGGCAGGCTGTCCACTGGGGAGAAGAGGGGCTTCCCGGATACCAGGGGGTGATGAAGGGGCGAGAAATGCTGGGGATACAGACAGGGCCACAACCTTTCCTGCGGCTGGTCTTCCAACCTGAGCAAAGGTGACCAAACTGCGGGTGGCTGAGACAGTAGGTAAGTGGCTGGCATGCCTGCATCCAGAGTCTTTGGCTGAGCAAGTAAACAACAGATGAGAGAATAATAGGATGTGTTTTCGGGAGAACCGAGTGGATCAGATCCGTCAGATTACTTCGCAGGAACAATCTGGAATCATCAGGCCTCCCCAGACTAATGCTGTGTAGGGAAAGGAGCACATTGGGGTCTGAGGTGACAGGAGCCCAAGGACAGGTCCGTCGAGAGTCTACCCAGGAAACTTTCACCATCAGGATGGGGTCAAGTGACCCAGGCTCACCTCCTGTCCAGTCCTCAGACTCTCTGAGACGTCACAGAATCCTTTTCCTAAGCACTGCTGGGACTTTAATCCTAGAAGGTGGACCCAGTGCCAGGATTGGGGTGCACCCCACTCAGATCCGGTGCCTATTCTCGGAGAAGACACAGTTCTCTGATGAACATGGTTTGAAGACCAGACTAAGCATACAAGAATGGAAAATAAGAGAGCTGCCGGCAGCACAGGGCGCACGGCACTAAAGAGAAATCAGTCCACTCTGCAAAATGAGGAAAAGAAACCCATGGATGGTCTCACCCCTTTGGGGGCTGCTGAAATTTCCTGAGCACAGGCCGTGTGCCAGGCTCAGTGTTGAAGGGTTTTACATGTAATAGCTTTACTTTATTCTGACAAAAGTCTTATGAACTAGGTATTGATATCCCTGTTTTATGGACCAGAAAACCAAGACTCTGCTAAATGGATCAATTTGTCTGGGATAATATAGTAAGTGGCAGAGGCAGGCTTTGAACTCGAATCAGCTGGGCTCCAATCATTACCCACAGCATACCAGGCAGATGTTGGCACTCATTTTGTCCACAGAGGTGCCAATTAGGGGGACTTGGGTTTCATGGAATCCCTGGCCCAGTTTCCTACCTCCTGTTGTATTTACTGCTCAGCTCTGAGGCAGCCTCCAAGGTAGGTAACAGCGTGACTTTGGTGGAGCGACTAGGTGGCAGCTCAGTAGTTTTAATCCCTAAAGGGTGTCCACATATTGCACTTATTCTGCCATGGAGTCAGGGCGTAAGCACTCCGTGCAAACCACTGGCACAGAGTCCCAGTCCCCCAAGGAGAGGTGGCACTACCTCTGGGCCCTCTGCTATCAGGTGTGCGAATGGGCAGAAGCTGTGTCTACCATCCACCAGATGTCCAAGGAACCAAGAGGGCAGAAGGACTAACTGAATGACCCAAGAGACTTCCTGGCACCATGGAACTGACCACCGGGCCTTCCTTCCTTGTCCTATTCCTCTTCCTCTCTGACTGGCACAGCAAGACTCCCTGTACAGTCAGGTTTCCCATCACCATTCAGGCATTCCTGTCGGAAGGCAGGTGGAAACACTGCCCAGAGCCATGTGAGGTTGGGAATACCCTCACTCAGAAGCTCCCCCACCAAGCACTTACCATTGTAGGAGAGGCGAGGTTTGCTCAGACACATTATAAAGTGCATTTCCATTTCATCAGAAGCCACAGACTTGGAGCAAATGGGGCACTTGAAACCTGAAAGAGAGGAAAACAGGGTAAAATCTTTTCTATAATAAGTGCAAATGCTCTTAAATGACTGGCCATGTGGGGTCAGAGCTGACGTGGAGAATTACAATCTAGATATATTCTAGACTTGATTTCTCCTTCATTGAATCATGCAAAATTTTGTTATTTTATTATAGTCCCTAACTCTCATTTTTTTCATCAGTGCTCTCCCTGTCATATGCCCCTTATTAAAGTTTATCAAAGGGCCGGCTGAGTGGCTCAGTTGGTTAAGAGCTTGCTCAAGAGCGTGAGCTCTGAGCAACAGGATTGCGGGTTCGATTCCCACATGGGCCAGTGAGCTGCGCCCAAGCTGAGCTGCCAACAAGTGGCAGGATGGCTCAGCTGGTGAGAGCACGTGCTCCTAACAACAAGGTTGTCTGTTCCAGATGGTAGGCTATGCCTGCTCGCAACTAAAAACTGAACTCAGCACCTTGAGCTGAGCTGCTGACTAGATGGCTCGGGGATAGAGCGCATGCTCTTAACAAGGCTGCTGGTTTGACTCCTGGGTGGGATGTTGGCTACGCCCACCCACAACTAATTGAACACAGCACCCTTGAGCTGAGCGGCACGACTGGACTTGGAGCTGAGCTTGCTGCGCCCTCCACAACTAAGATTAAAGGACAACAACTTGGCTGTTCCCCTTCCTCAATTCCCCAATACTGTTCTCTCCCCAAATTCCCCAACACTGTTTCCCTCCCCCAATTCCCTAATAAAATCTTTAATAAAAAAAAATTTTATCAGAAGTCACTGACAGCTGATTTGAGCTTTGTTTTCTTTTAGACCCTTTCCCAAGGAGGTCTAGCAGGCAGTGGGGATAGGCAGGCATCAAATCAGGGCAACTAAATAATCCATCTTTGAATAACAAAGCGTTGAACACCCTTCCACCCCACAGCCCTCAAACCACTAGTTGGGTCACATATGGGAGGAATCCCTACAGTCATTAGCATCTCCATCCTCACAGGACTCCATTCCTCACTCATACCCAGGTGATCCCTCCATCCTTCACTCACAGCACCACGGCCTCCCCTGTGACTAAGGCAGCTGTCCTTTGACAGTGTACACGCAGCACGGTGGTCCTCCAGAGTGTTCCCAAATGCCATGCATGCCTTGGCCATATGCCGCCGAGAGTGACAGCTGTTTCACAACCCCAAGCTAACACAGGGTTCTGTTCCCCGGTGTGGACTCCTTATAAACCCAAGGAGTTTTATCAGAACTGTATCCAGTACTGGAGATTTCAGGTGAGAATCTTCTGAGCAAACTCCACTAAGCAAACATAGTCCCTTCATTTATATTTTTAAAAACTTTTTTAAAAAATAAATTCTTTTCAATTTCCCCCACTTTACTTTTATTGAAATTATTTTCAAATGGATTCTTTTCCAATCTACCAAAAAGATCCAATACTGCTGAAAAGTTATTGTGAAGATTTGACTCTTCTGTTACTTTTTTTTTTTAAAGATTTTTATTGGGGAATTGAGGATGGGAATAGCGCTGGGGAATTGGGGGAAGGGGAACAGACAAGTTGCTGTCCTTTTGTTCTTCAGTCTAGTTGTGGAGGACGTTGCTTCACTGGCCCAAGTTGGCACCATCATTGCACTCTTCCCGGGCGAGGCAGATCAGTCGCCGGCTTCTGGACGGCCGCTCACGGCGGCTGCTGGCCGCTCATGCTGGCTGCTGGCTACACACAGTAGCCCATGGCAATCCACTGCAGCAGGGGCTGCAGCCTACACCGTTGCTGGCGACTCACGGCAGCCCAGCTCCAGGTTGAGCTGTTGTTCAGCATCTTAGCTGTAGAGGGCAGTGTCACTCGCCCTCATATGTGGGATCCGAACTGGGGCCCTCTGGTATCCCAAGCCAGCTCTTAACCATTGCGCCCCTCGGCTGGCCCTCTTCTGTTAATTTTTAGTTAAAATGTTCTATGTGGTTTCATTGAATGTCGGTAATATCCGTCAGCAACATTTCTATGAAACAGATACAAGTCTAAGGGTTCGTGTTGACTGTTAGCTGCCCCAGGACAGAGGATTCCACACCCTCACCAGTGTCCTTCCCTTCCGTGGGGACTCGCTCCTTCTGTATGGGAAGCCCTGGACTCCAACAGCAGGTGGTGCTGAGACAAGTAAGCCCACTCCCATATTCCCACGAAGGTCACAGCACTTTGCTTAAAGTCTTCTCCACACGCTCCCTCTCTTCAGGAACAATGCTATGAACTACAGGACTAGACAGAAAATCCAGGGTCCTGTTAACTGTGAACAAAGTGGGCTTTGGACTCAGTGGCCTAGTCCCCATTTCCCTGACCCCCTTTCTCAAAGATCTTTAGCATCTAAGCATCTCAACTGAAAAGTCTTAGAAGTGCTATGAACCCAAGGACTCTGGCTAAGCTTTGAGAAAGGGCTGTATTTTCTGATTTCTCTGTGGTTACAAATCCATTAATAATAAACCCAGAAGGCTGAAAAGAAGCATGGCGGAAGAGTCCATCCCCAGTTTTCGGCAAAATTGGATCTCAAGTGTGTCAGACTGATTCTTTCCTAAGCCAGTGCAGAAAGCTACAAACCCAGTGTGACACATGAAGTGAATAGGTGAGTCATGAACTTGAGTCTTACAGAATGAGGACATCTTCACCTCTAACCTAAGTCCCTCTGCACTTTTGGATCTGCCCTCACGTCTGTGCACTGCAAATAAACCTCTACTTATATTAAATAACATTCCACAGCATGACAAGCCATTGGGAGATTGTTTCATTTTCTCCAGATTGGAGAAAGGAGATTTCACCTTCTTTCCTGCAAAATACCAAGGCTTTGCAACAGTGACTACAGGATACTTCTATAGTACTTGCTAAGTCTGCAGGCTGAGGGCTCAGTGCTGTGAGCAGGCCAGGACTGATGTGCTCTGGACGAGGTCAGGACCAGCTCATCTACCACCAGGCCCTGACATAGTCACTGGGAGGTGTTAAAGTGATTTGTTACTAATAAAAAGCCTTACACCTCGCACATTCCTCACTTTTCTGATAGCTTACAACAGATTCATGGTTATCGCTTGTAATAGCAACAGACAATGCTGCCTCTGAATCTGATTCTCTGAGTGCAGGAGATGGGGGTCGAGTTACAGCTAAGGTGCTGGGAAACATGCCACCCAACAAGGAGGCCTGCGAGGAACACTTATGTCCCAGAACAATACAAGTTGAGACTCACAGGTTTAGACCAGACCCCTCACTACAGAGATAAAGAATGGGGTCCCAGTGAGGCCATCAGGTCAAACATCTGAGGGAGTCAGGATAAGGCTAGAATCAGATCTCTTAGCTCCAGATCTAAAGTCCTTTCCATCAGGGAGGAGTTGATCACAGCTGTGATATTGTGATTCATAATAAATATATTTGGACTTTGTCCCATTTCTGGCAGAGTTCCTAAAACCCTTGGAATTTCCTAACATTATAAGGACAATAACTTTAGGTCTTTTGTCATCGGTTCCTTACATACCCCCAGAGCCACAAGGTGAAAGGCCTGTCTTGTTCTTCATAACAAGCCCTTTTCAACCATGCCAGAGTTTATGTAAACGGGTGACTTGTGGAAAGTCCCTTGGTAAACTAAGGATGGGGGCTGGCTGCCAGGGGAAACCACCAGCTGATCAGAGGATGGGAACTTTCAGTCCCACCCCTCAATCTCCGGGGAAGGGAGAAGGGCTGGAGGCTGAGTTCAATCACCAATGGCCAATGATTTAATCAATCATGCCCATGTAAAGAAGCCTCCGTAAAAACCCGAAAGGACAGGGTTCAGAGAGCTTCCAGGTTGGTGAACACGTGGAGATTCGGGGAGAGTAGTGCCCATGGAGTGGAAATGGAAGGTGTGCCCTTTCCCCACATTGTGCCCTATCCATCTCTTCTTCCACTTGGCTGTTCATGAGTTGCATCCTTTTATAATATACTTACAGGTATAATAGTTCTAGTAGGTAAAATGTTGCTCTGAGTTCTGTAAGCTGCTCTAACAAACTAAATAAAAGTGAGGAGAGGATTGTGGGGCAGCCAGTTGATCAGAAGCACAGGTGACAACCTGGACTTAAGAATGGTGTCTGAAGTCGGGGGGAGGAAGTCTTATGTGACTGAGCCCTTAACCTGTGCGATCTGATGCTATTTCCTGGTAGGTAGTGTCAGAATTGAGATAATTGATTGGTAGTACTGGGAAAACATACCTCAGAACAGGGTTTTAAGAAAGAGGTGGATTGGGAAAAATTATATCTGCAGAGGAAGCGCCACTGTAATAGGAAGAGATCTACATTCCAGTAAAAGTAAAGTTACTGCCTACTTGGATCAAGGACTTGTGGGTGGGGGGGGTAAGGCCTAAGAAATAACTCAGAGTCATTACGTAAGCGAGAAATACCAAGATGACCTGGGTTTTCCGGCCTCAGGATCTTGGCAATAATCTACCCTCCCTGGACCTCAGTTTCCTCATTTGAAAAACAGTAATTTACCTCAGTCTTGCTAGGAGCAAATGAGATAAGAAACCTGAAAGCACTCTAACAAGCAGCTAGTCAAATGTACGTGGTATCCTCGTCATCACGCATGGCAGCACTTGACAAGGAGGAAGGACCAGGAGAGCCCGAGAAAGGATCTGGGGTCCGAGAGATAGGGGTGATGGAGCAGCAGGACACACAGGCCATGAATGTGCAAAATGTGCTGGAGGTGGCCAGTGACGGCCCCTGCCGGTCCTATCTCTGTTTCCTCTGAACTTCCAGAGTACCTTGTATGGATGGCACTTTCTGTAATGCCAATGTGGAACCATGGTCCCTGTTTAACCTCTATGGCACCCACTCTTGCACGTGATAATAATAATAGCTCGCATTTACTGAGTCGTAAATGAAGCCACTGGGCTTCACATGTCTTCTCATTTACATAATATGAGGTGGGTACTAACGTTAACTCTACAGAAGAGGACATCAAATTAAGTCACTTGCCCAAGGTAACTAGCCAGAAAGAGCCAGAG